GGACATCAATGAGTCGTTACGAGCCGCAGGGTTTAATATGGATTAGTCTGTGCATGTTTTTTTTACTCTCATAGATTTTGTTACCATTGCCATGCATTATACGACTGATAGACTGCAACGGCTGGAGTTAAAAATCTCAGTTTGTGTTCTACTGAAGAAACAAAGTCACCTACATCTTGGATGCCCTGGGGGTAAGCAGATAAACATAACATTTTCATTTTTGGGTGAACTATCCCTTTAAGCTTCTTATTTTTATGGAAATTGTGATCCTTTCTTTTAGGTCTCTTTGGTGAATAGAAAGTTCAAAAGACCAGCATTTATTTGAAATAGAAATCATTTGTAACATTACAAATGTCTTTACTGTCACTTTTGATTTGAATTTAATGAATTATTGCTGAATAAAAGTATTACTTTCTTTCATAAATAAAACAAAAGACAGCTACTTTTCAATGTCATAATAGATTCAGTTAGCAACAATATCCTTTATGTTTGATACATTTTTCAACATATGTAAAAATTCTAAACTTAAGACTTGTTGCATAGATTTAGAGAACTAGATTCACTAAACTGAAATTGAAAGGAATAATTCACACATCTGTAGTCCTTGCAATTTTAATTTCAGCTAAAACAACTCACACTTACAGCAGATTTAAAGCATAACTGTCTTCTGAGCAGTGACAGAAGCCAAGGAAAGCAAGTGGAAAAAGAGCCCATCTCTGGAACTACTGAGCGTCTTTTTTTAAGTGCGCCGAGTGTGTGGAGATATTTTCCATCCATTAGTTGAGCGTTAGGTCATGAAATACACTCACACAGAGAGACACTCGCTTCCCGCCACACACTCGCACAAACATGGAAGCCAACATATAATTGACTTTCTATATTTACATTTAATTAAGTAATCGCTTCACATCCAGATCAATGTGATTATTTTTCCGCTTGAGCTTTAAAATCAACCCCGAATGAAGCTTTTCAGATACCCAACAAACCACAAAGAATAACAAGACATAACACAACCCACAACCTCCTCGCTCTGAAATTGCTAACTGTGCAAATTGGGGCACATCGTCACAAAACCACATCCTGACTGTACCAGCATTTATGAATCCGATTCAAATGCATTGTGTCTAGATGATAATTTCGATAATAAAGCATGAAAGATGGTTCTTTTTGCAGGAGATTCTTTTGCATCTATGCTTTATATATGCAGACTGCACAGCATCTAAATTTGCATATCTGAGCCTTTCAACTTACCTTCATGGTGATTCAGTAGCAGAGGAACAGAATGGAATGATTCATTCCTTCTGCAATTGCTTAGTCTGCTAATCATTATTCAATCTCCAAGAACAAAGTGAGCACGTTATTTACTTCGAAAGCAAAGCAAAGCAAAAAGGTCTATTTGACTTCTTTCAGAAGGGCTGGAGTTGTTTAATTGCTCTACATAATGTCAGGTGTAAAGCTAGTGCTTTGGCCACGGTCTGAAGTTGGGATATAGTGCAGAGAGTCTGATGTCTTGGTGTGTAAACACTGGAGCGAGGTGGCTCAGGTTTGTTTGAGTGTGCAGAGGCTGCCGGCTCTTGTGTTGTTGTGCTGAGAGACACATGCACTACGTAATGGAATCTCTGTAGTCTCGTGTCTGGCTTCCACAGAGCTGTCCCATCCATCCTCATACAAGCGTCTGGACGCCTGGACATGATCACACACTCGTCCTCAGCCCTCGCACTGACACAGGAGCTGAGAAAACACACACACTCTACTGCTACTTACGTACAGAAGTGCAAACTCATGCGCTCACACGTACGCACAGATAAACGAGGATCAAGCACTTTGATGTGCATCAATGCAGTGACATCTTCATTTGCAAAGGGCAGACATTGTCTTTCTTTGTTTGACGTACGCTTTTCACTTTCGGTTTATAAGAAAGGTGCTTTTACACAGTGCTTTCCTTTGCATTTATATCCTTCACTGTCAAATGGTTAATGCTTCATAATGAGTGAGAGACTTCATCGTACATAGGTTCAATAAAGACACAGGCAGCATTGCACTGAGAATCATAACAAGATGGGAGGTTCATGCTTCATACCAGCACATACCGCTAAAAGCAGACTATACAGTAAAAAAACTTTATTCTTAACATTTAGTTATATTTCCCAGTTATAATGTTTAAAAATCCTTTAAACAATATACATCTTTTTGAGAATATATTAAAAGGATAATTCCACCAAAAAACTGCCAAACCAGTTCGTTCCAACTAAAAGCTAAAATCAAATCAAATATAAATATTCTATAAATATTTTGAATTGTTGCATTAACTTAAGTTTAAGCTTACATACTAAAATTACTGAGACTAAAATAAAACAAATTAAAACTACACACACACATATATAAATCATAAGCACAAAACAAAATCACTAAGACTTAAAAAATTAAATAGAAATTAAATATATAAGAATAGAAATATATAAAATATAATACAAATCAATGAACAAAAATATAATAATACATTCAAATATTAATATAAATATTATAATAGTATATTAATAAAATTAAAATAACACTGTTCCAAACCTTCACGAGTTTCTTTTTTTCTGTGGATGATAAAAGAAAATATTTTGAGAAATTTCTTAAGGTGTTTTTTTTTTTTCTTTTAGTCAATGATTACCAAAATGCTTTGATTACCATCATTCTTCAAAATATATTTTGTGTTCAAAAGAAATTAATTCAAGTTTGGAACAACATGAATTACAATGAAATAATAGTTTTTATTATTATTATTTTTACTGGAAAATAAATAAATCAAGAAAAATCATTAAGAAGTCATTTTTGCACTGTATCAAAGCTGTACAATTAATTGAATTTCTAGTTGTGATAACAATTACGAATGCCACAATTATATAATCGTTCAAAGCAGCAATTAATCGTTCAAAGTCCACTTGTGTTATTCTGTGTGCTTAAGATGTGCTTTTTTTCTTTCTACAGGTTATCTTAGGTTTTTTTCCATTGTTTTAATTTAAGTTTTAGTATAACATTATAATACCATTAATATTTTAACTTTTTTTATTTAAAGAAGAAACCAATCCAATGTATAGTTGATATTTGAGGCTTAATACCATAGAAAAGCAATAAAAGTTTTTCAGTTAGAGTGTTTTCAGCTTGTTTATTTTCATATACAAATATGGCATGCAGTTGCTTCAAACAATATAAACAACATTCAATGTAAATTGTGATAATCATAATTAATATTCACAATTACAATTTCAAGGAAATAATCGACAATTATGATTTTTGTCATAATCATCCATAACTGCATCCCAAATCTACACCACCTTATGATTGCTTTGTGGAATATAAAGTCATTCACCGGTAATCTTACCCTTTACCAAAATTCTCTTCACATGTTCTTTACACAATCTTGAAAGACATGACAAATATGAATTACTGTAATATGGAAAAGTTCTGCAACATACCCTGTAATAACAAGTTCTTAGGAAAAGTCGATGGGGGAAAAAAAATGTCACTTACAAAAGTGACATTAGAGACTACAGAGGAGGGGGGGGGATACTGAGGCAGAAAAAAAGATGAAGAAAAATAGATGAGCAAACAACAAATGATACCTCACAGAGAGAGGAAGTAGAAAGTTACTTGATGTCAGCAGATGAAGTGTGAACGTTGGGGAAGAGTGTGACACCTGTGGTTAGAGCAGCAGATCACAAAAAGTGATAGAAAGTGCAATTCAGCAAGAAACACGTACACGCACTGATGTATCACTGTCAGCTATAGTTCTCACGGGACCCCAGTGAGGTCACTAAGGGGCTAAATCTACCCTCATTTCCACTAACCCACTACATGAGACAGTCCCAAGACGATGCACAAAAAGAAGTAGATCAGGCACTTTACTAGAACATAAGAAAGTGATGGAGAGTGGGTGAGGGTGCAGTGAGATAACTCCGCATTAGATGAGTAATACACAGCTTTGTGCTGGATATCAGTGTAAAAGAGCTGGAAAAGTCAAGCTGCTTATTCAAGAGGCTTTCCATAAATTTGACTGGCAGGAAAATATAAGTACTGTTTAATTGCTGTTTGAGAATTTTTATTTAAAACTAATATAGTATCAAACAAATAGAATAAGAATTTTAGACGTTTCATTCACATTTACATTTATGCATTTCACAAATGCTTTTATTCAAAGCAACTCAAGGTATTTCCCTGGGAACCAAACCTATGATCTTTTTGTTGCTAGCACCATGCTCTACTGTTTGAGCTACAGGAAAACTCATTTCAAATTATAATGCTTCTCTCCTACATTACCTTTTAGTTAGACACTTTTTACTGATAGTTATGCTGACGGAATCAACCTAAATACATTAGATTAAATGCACAGCACTAAATGTCCCTGCTGGGGAAAAAAGAACCCCTCATAGAATTTGTAATGGTTTTAATGAGAATTGTATTGGTTTTAATTTAAACTGTAATGGTCCCTGTGGGTCTCTACTGGTAAGTTGTTGCCTTTTATTGGTAGCATGTCAATACCACTAAATCCTAATAGAATATGACCCAAAACACTACAGGTAATGGTTTTAATGGTCAACAGTTGATAGTTTGTAATGTTTGTAATGGTATTTGTAGTGGAAACCATTAGAACCTTTGTGATAAGTTTCTATTGTTTTAATCAGCAGGTGTATATCAGAAATAGCTCCTTAAAGCTACATGGTTACTCCTTTTTGTTTGAAATGAACACAATTTAAATAATGAGTGAGTACCTCATAAATTCCGTCATTCATCTACGCATGTTTATGTCATCCGTAAATAAATCCGTGAAATTTCACAAAGACTGCAGCAACATCTAATTATTTATTTGAATTGTAAAAACGACGTGTCACAACATGTAAGGAAAAACTGCAGCATTTTATTAAAATTATAAGTTGTCAACTCAACTCATCCAAAGCTCGCACGGTCCTCTACCACTTCCTGGATTGTCATTTCATTTGGTAAAGTTAGGCAGTTTTGATTTATATAATGATTCATGTTTGATGTTATTTTACATACATCTGCTTACATACGTGATCGCTTGTTTCTGCTTTTTCTTCACAGTATTTTGATCCAGATGTTCAGTACTCTTTCAGAAGATGCGTAATAGCGCATCCTACTGTACACCAGTGAAAACACGGAACGCTGGAAAATTCCATCAATGGCGAGAAAGCGTTGCCTCATATATGTGACCTGGACCACAAAACCAGTCATAAGGGTCTTTTTTTATTTAGATTTATACATCATCTGAAAGCTGAATAAATAAGCTTTCCATTGATGTACGGTTTATTAGGATCGGACAATATTTGGCCGAGATACAACTATTTGAAAATCTGGAATCTGAGGGTGCAAAAAAATCTAAATACTGAGAAAATTGCCTTTAAAGTTGTCCAAATGAAGTTCTTAGCAATGCATATTACTAATCAAAAATTAAGTTTTAATATATTTACAGTAGGAAATTTACAAAATATCTTCATGGAACATGATCTTTACTTAATATCCTAAAGATTTTTGGCATAAAAGAAAAATAAATAATTTTGACCCATACAATATATTTTTGGCTATTGCTACAAATATACCCCAGCGACTTAAGACTGGTTTTGTGGTCCAGGGTCACATATGAAAAAGTAACTGAATGACATCTCCTTTTGTAAGTCATATTGATAAGAAACAAAACAAAGGTAAGTGATGAGACAATTTATTTTTGGAAAAACTATTTTATTCACAACATAATCTCTCTTAAAATACCTTATAGGGGTATGATAATCAAAACTGTCCTGAGCTAGATCAAGCTTTGATCTCTGCAAACCAAACGATAATTTTAATCAAATAATATATTTTTTTCCCACTAATGAAAATATTTTATCATTAGCTAGCTCCACACTGGAGAACTGCTTTATAACAGAAAATCAAGTTGTAATTCTAACGGAAAGTGACACTGACTCTGGCTTTTCATGTTTAATACTGTAAAGCTGCCTGGTTTAAATCTATCTGTTGCATAAAGTACTATATCAATAGACGTGACTGGACTTTACTAGAGTAGAGTACTAAACTGCAAGTATCCTCATCACTGTAATCAGATGCGTTCTTAACTGCTGCTTTCTCACCGCTGTCAGTTTTTGTTGTGTTTATTTCATTATTGAGAGAAAAGCGCGCAGCATATATTTACATATTCATCCAAAGCTTCAGGTTCGGCCAGGGTTGCCAGGTTTTCACAACAAAACCTGCCAAATTGCTACTCAAAACTAGCCCTGGTAAAATTTAAATTCCATGGGCTAAATATCATGTAATTGGGGTCGTTCAAACCCGCGGACATGAAAAATAACCCGCAGCAACAGTGTTAAAGTAGCCCAATTCCACGGGAAAACCGCAGACTTGGCAACACTGGGTTCGGCTGCTTTTTTTTTTTTATAAAGTCGCCAGTCACCACCAGCATTTTTGATAATTTTCACAAAAAGTTTAATGGCACCAAGAATGTTTTTTTTTGTGTATGAATATCTGAACATGCAATAGGTCAAAACAAAGATCAGAGCCTCTGCTCTTAAACAACAACAACAACAAAAACGTTTTATTTTAGCTTCATGCAATCTTTTTTTTATCTGCACTTATCAGCATATTTTGAAAATCGTGTTTTTGTCTGGATCAAATTCAGAATGATGATCAAAACAGATGGAATAGACTGCTTCCATCAACGCATCCAAAGCTTGCATGGTCCTATACCACTTCCTGGATCATCATTTCATCCTGTAACATTAGGCAGTTTTGATTTTTTATGCTGTTTAATGGTTGATGATAGCATTATTTTACATATGCATCTGCTTACATATGCGATCGCTTGTGTCTGCTTCTTCAGAAAGCCGTAAAATTCCGTCAATGATGGGGAAAGAGTTAAATGCCAACATCTGACCTAAATCATGACCTTTCTCTTGCTACCGGTGACTGACCGCTCCTGCCAGGCAGCTTTATGACCTATAGGCAGCAGGCAGGTGACCTCTGCCCAGGATTGGGTTGCACCTCTTGGTTGTAGGCCCACACTCCTTGCCTGAACCTTTAAAGATCTGCTGCATCTGGAAAGCATTGCACCAGCAAGCCACTATTACCCATTACCCATCCCCGCAGCCATCTGGCCCACCTGCACACACACACGCTTTAACAGGCAATGGGCTCATACACCAAGCCCTCGTTAAGCAGCCAGCAGTCCACTTTTTAAGTGTTATTTCATCAGGCTACTGAGCCAGTGAAACGGCTGATAAAACGACCATCAGAAATTCGAGCTTGTGGAGCTCAAAGGGCCACTGGGTGAGGAGCAGGTCCCCACACCTCTCATCCAGCTGTGTGGACCGGAAGAGAGGTCAAATATGCAGAGGAAAGCATTTTTCATATTTATGTGTATGAATTGCATATAAAATTGCCATCCATTTGGATTACACAATTTTAACATAAAGAAAATAATAAACTTAATGTAATGCATATGTCATTCATACAGAAATGAAAAAGGTAAGATTTCTGTTATAGCACTATTACATTGAATGTGTTTTAAATACACAATAACCAGGTTTATATATTTATCATCAATATATCCAACAATTTGTCCGTCCATTTGCACAATTTTAACATGAACAAATTGATCAACTTTATGTATTGCATATTTGTCATCCATACATCAATGAAACAGATACGATTTCTGTATTAGTACTAATAAACTGAATGTTTAAATTCACAATAATCACGTTTACATATTTTTCATCAGTTTCATACATTTCAAGGTTTAATATTGATTGTTCCACAGCTAGCCATATTTTAACTATGATCATACTTTTTAATTGAGTAAGCTTGAACAGATGCTGATTCTAAGCAATTTGAATACATGCATTTTGAAAATGTGATTACTTAAATCAAATCAAATAGATTTAAATAGTTAATAACAAGCTGTGCCATGATTTTATGAGTGCATTTTCCCTGTTTCTTACATGTTTATTTTTATGTATGACTTTCAAATATACATCACATTAAGTTTACTAGTTTGCTTATGTTAGGACTGTGTAATCCAATTAACTGGAAATTTTATATGCAATTCAAACATATATATCTTAAATTTAGGCCTTTTCCCCTAAGTGTAGCAAACATTGTAAACATCGCTCACAACTCCTTAGAAACCACATAGCAACATCATGGAAACCACCCAGAACATTGTGGTGTTGTGTTTTGCAAAAGCAAGCACCACTCACTTGTCTTTAGAAAATGCAAGCAAATCGACTTAGTCTTTTGTGGAGGGGTGCAGTGACTGTCAGAAGTTGGTTAGACTATGACACAGTGCAAGTTAGTAACAGCTATTAGACAGAGACCTGTTGGGAGAGAGGCTGCATATCACAGCCAGCCAAACCAATGACTCTTAGCCAGAAACAGCAGCACGGCCCATGGCCAAGAAGCCGAGAGCAGGACAGTGGAATTACATCCAGGCCTGACTGCCACACAGAACGGAGTAAGAGCGTACCACCATTTAACACACAAGCTCAGTTTGCTTTCAGTGAGAGAAGGCAGATATAGCCAGTGGATGAGCTGGATTTAGATACATTATTACAACAATCTGGGAGCAATATTTACTCGCAAGCTTCACTGTCTGCTGTCTTAATCGTGATGAAAGCAGTACAACAAAACACAAACAAAGATGCACACCAACACACACACCAGTTAGTAATATAAAACCTTGGGCTTCCCACTCACCAATGCTTTTGTGAACACATAAATGTCTGAATGGAAAGTTCCTTTAAAAAAACAAGGAGGGAAAAAATATGAGCCTTTTCAGAATATGAATGAGTACACTTTAATAATAAATGCATATGTGACTTGTGTAGCATTTTTTTCAATGTATATTTAAAGATTTCTTCTATTCCAGCTTTATATGCAGAAACAAAAATAGGTACACAAATAGATATTGTAAGATATATGTAGACTGATTTCCATGAAAAGTGTAAACACTGTGGCTCTGTGGTGCTGTCAAAACACTGCTCTGTTTGTTTGGAGCATCCAAACAAGTACAACCTAGCAACATTGGCTCAACCAATACGATGATTTGGGGGCAGGGCTATATATGGTTTGACCAATGGAAAAAAGAAAGAGCGAAAGGGCGTGATCTAATATAGCAATACTCTAGCAACCACTCACAACACTTAGCAACACTTTTGAACAAAATCTAAACGACTCAAGCTGTAGCCAGTTTAAATTCATCATGACATGTTTCCTATTTGCAACATTTTAGCAATTACATGTAACAAAAATCAATGCATACTGCATTCACTACCATTATTTGTGGTCAGTAAGATTGTAAGAAAGTGACAGTAAAGACATTTATAATGTTACAAAAGATTTCTGTTTCTGTTCTTCTGAACTTTCTATTCATCAAAGAATCCTGAAAAATGTATCCGTTTCCACACAAATATTAAGCAGCACAATTGTTTTCAATATTGACAATAAGAAGAAACTTTTATTAGGCACCAAATCAGCATTTTATGATTTCTGAAGGATCATGTGACACTGAAGACTGGAGTAATGATGCTGAAAATTCAGATTTGCAATCACAGGAATAAATAACAGTTTAAAATAGAAAACAGTTATTTTGAATTGAA